AGTGATTGTCTTAAGGTATGTTGCACTCGTGCCCCAAGAGAACAACTTATTTGGGTGGTTATAGACTTAGTTAATTGCTCCATACTGAAATTGTGTGCTTCTTCGAGTACTTCTTCTCCATGACATCTTAGTTGGGCTGTTTCATACAAGCTTAACATTCCTTCAATATCATCGGCTAAATTTTCCTTAAACTTTCCGGTTTGATCTTTGAATTTGCAAAATATACCTGTTTAACTTATTGATACGTGTTAATTTCAAGTTATACATTTAATTTTATAACTATTATAATGGATACCACCACACAATCTTAAAAGTTAAAATTGTTTTGATCAAATAGTAAACATTATATAATTTAAAAAAGAATAAACATTATTTAGGTCATAGTCGATTTTAATCAATATAATGTACTTTTGTGTACAAATTACCAGAACCAGAAGCTTCATAAAAAATTATAATATTTTGATAAGTCGTATTCCATCAACACAACTTCAACAATAAATTTTATTGAAGTCGTGAGCTCCGGAAATGACTTTGTATTTAAATTTTGAAATTCTGAAACTGTGTACCTTATGCACAACTTCAGTGTAAGAAGTTGTGTATACAATATACAAATTCTAAGTAAAATCCGAGAGCTACAAAAGGAATGCTTTGAGATGAGATTCTCCTTATTGTGGTTCATGTGATAAGTGTTGTTGTACATGACATACAGGACTTCTGATTTAAAATAAAAATTTGCAAATCATTTTCCATCCCACAACTTCAGATCATTAGATTTTACAAATAAGTCACGTGCTATACACCACTTCTAATTTCAAACAAAAAAAATTAAAATTAGTTCTCTCACAACTTCAATGGATAATCTCTTAGGATACACGGTTTCTATTACGAAATTTTAAATCAAAAGTCGTCTATAGAATTTACGACTTCTATAAAATTCATTGTTGAAGTCCGTATGTTGATGGAACACAATTTGTTCAGAAGTTGTAATTTTATCTGAACCTATATATTCTAGTTTGTGTATAAAAAAAAAAGCCATTTCAGAAAAAAAAAGCCATTTAAAATAAAAAACCATATATTTGTCGGAGGTTGAGGTTGAGGTTGTTAAGTTTTGATGACTCAGAAATTTGTACTGACCCAAACATGTATGTATTTTTAGAAGGAAAATGATACTTGAACAACCATTTTTTGACAACATTTAGACACGCGCACACGTGTCAAAATCTGAGTGGTCCAGTTGGAAAAATTAAATGAAAATGGACCACTCAGATTTTGACACGTGTCTAAATGTTGTCAAAAATGGTTGTTCAAGTGTCATTTTCCTTTTTAGAATTGATTTCAGATATTCATTTTAGATATTTAGCTAATGATTCTCATCCTCTATCCTAAAATATCAAACCAAGGCAAACTTTATCTGCATTAACACGCCAATGTCATGTCGTAGTCTACTTTTTGTCTTTCTCTTAGCTATATATTCTTTGAAAAGTTAATGTTCTTTGAAAAGTAAATTTGGTTAAATGCTCAGGAAAACCTACTTGAAGAAATGCGGTATCCTTGTTGTCTAAGCAGCCGAAAGAGTAGAGCCGTGTGGTAAAGATCATCACAGTGAGCTATGATATCATTGTCCTTTGTTGAAATGTCATAAATTTTACATAAAGCATCGTCAATTTCATGTTCAAAATGGTAAGACACACCCAAACGTTGGACTGAATCAATGAGGATCAATTTGAGAGAGAAATTGTTATCATCAATCGGTGAGACAAGTCTCTTCCTCACGTCCTCTTTTAATAGTTTAGCTTCTTGAGTACGGCTATCACTTTCCTGCATCAAGTAGTAATGAAAAGTCCATCATATGAAACGTTTTATCTACATAGACTAAATGTTAAATATATGCAAATGTAATTAGTTAAAGAAATTGAAAAAGTTAAAGTGCAAATGCAAATACAGCGGAACAAGGAACAGAGGAAAGGAAGCGATCGCCCCAAACCGAGGGATGAAAATTTGCAGTGGGTCTAAAGGGAGGTTTTTCACCACTGGCGGAAATTTGAAGTGATAAGCCACCGTTAGACATGGTTTTTTGTGTAGTATGCATACAATATACGTTATGAAGTTCGAACACGCTTCTTAAATAGTGTTTCTCTGCCTATCATGTATCAGCTAGGAGACACACACTTATACAACACATGTAGATGAAGTTTTAAATTTAGAATATGAAATTTTTAGTCCGTCACATAATTATGACATGATATAAATAAATAAAAATGAATTTAATGTTTTTCAAAGGTTTCAAAAATATAAAATGTTCAATCATCTATCCATACTTTAATTTCACTCTTACATAATAAAATTAAAAACGGAAAAAAAATATTCATTCTTAACAAAAAATTAGAAATTGAAAAAGAATATAAATTTCATTCACCATTATAACAAATTGATCAAAACGTAAAAAAAGAAAAACATTTGCCTCACATATGCCAAGAATAAAATATTGAGTCGAAAATGGTGAGCCCTATAATTTAATTCTACAATACAACACAATAAGCATATAAGAAACGTGATGCTACATTAACATGTGTGGACTACAGAAAAACAAAACCCTAAAGGTGAGATGATAAGAAAATAG